ACAAGCAAAATATGAGGTTATTGTTTTTATTATAATTAACTAGCAGACCGGCCAAGCGTTGCTGTGGCTAGCTAAGGTTTTTGTTATATTACATAGTAGTAAACTATTCAAGGGAAACGGTAGGACAACACCAGTCATGGGGACCACCATGCTTTATTGGTGGTTATGCCATTAAATTGTAGCTTATGTGAAACGTTGGTACTTTCAACACAGCGCCATCTGTTAGAATTGTGACTATCAAATAATAAACAAATATTTTGCAATACAATAATATTGCGGGTATAAATTGAGATGTAAGCTATCCTATCTTTTAAGTTAGATCAAACTGCACACGGTGTGCAAATTTGATTGATATCGGTTCGGTACTTTAGGAATCCATAGCGGACAAACAACGTAACACGTAATTTATATATATTAAGATGTCAGAAAAACCTATATAACCTTTTTTGGGTAGATAAAAAAATATAAAAAGAACAAGAACTCCGAATTGCTTAATATTGTGCAATATTCATCGATATGAAGAGATAATACAGGACTTATATGATAATCATGCAAATTTTGATATATAAAATATATTATTGATTAAAATACTAAAATGGTACATACTTTGAATTTTTACCTTGAAAAATGACTGTTGAGACTTGAGTATTCAAAGCTTCAACAAAATCGAGCAGTAAAAGCGAATATTCCAACACCATGCACGTGGTAGATATGTATGGACGTAAGAAGGTACGCGCAGCATTGAATTAAAACGCAACATTTAAGCAATTTGGAATGTTTAATATATTACCAATCTTGTTTTGTATGAAATTTATATAATAAGTCTTCGTTTTATATTTTCTTCAAGGAAACAAGCTAGGCCTTACATTGCCCATAACGCCTTGTAAAACAAGCAATAAATATAAAGTGAGAAAAAGAATTTGCTCGTCTATTTTAAGAAGGACGGGAGATCTCAGATACAGTTTAAAGGTTAGGTTTTTTTATTTATGTTTGAATTCAAAGCCAATGTTTTGGTGGTTATGATTTATCGTACACAGCTATGTACAATTCTTCAAGTGCGCATATTCCAAAAAGCGATGCGAACTTAAATCATACAGAAGTGTCAAATTTAAGATACGTTTTAGGATTTGGGGCTTGAGAATTACTTTTCGCCTGGCGAGACCCACTACCAAGCGACTGTATTAAAAACGGTCACGTGTATTCATGAGCTAATGCCATTCCCATGCAAATTAATCTTAAATTTGTGGAGGTATGCAGTCGCACCCCGGGTTGTCCGAAAATACCTTTTAATCTAAAATCAAATTTTCAGGCGTTATTTTGAGATAATTTCCGATTCCGTAGATAATGTTCGCACCACTTTGGTAAGGGTCTGTTGTTGTTTCAGAGCGATTATCAAGCGGCCAAGATTTTAGGTAACGAAGCCTAGGGTAAGCTAAAGAAACTCTTTATTTTAAGTGAAAATACACATTTGAGGTAGTTCTTCAATATTGATGATATTGAGTGGCAATATAACACAAATTCCCTAAAGAACTTTCTCCAAACCGAGTACTGGCCGACAGAAATAGGCTTCCGGAAAGTGTAATTAGTAAACCATTTTTTAACTCTTTTAAAAATTGGTTATATAGTTTCTCCAAATCTCAAAATACGCGAGCATCAGCTTATTAAACTGAATAATAATAATAATTATTGTCGGTAACAAGTTTACTTACTTTTTTCTCTCAGGAATCCGAATGTGATAATAGTTATGTAATGTAACATTGTTAATTATTGATTGTTCGAATTTGCTCACTTATATATTATATTATATACGAAAAAAATCCCCGTAAAAATCCCCTATGAGTCCGTTACTTTAGAAAAGTTATTAGTTTTTGGCCATTCTTTCGATTGGCATCACGAGAGGAGTGTTTTTTTTTTACATTTAAGTCGGTTTGATTCCCGGACGAGGCTAGTAATTTTTAGAAAATCTTTGAATGCAGAATTACTAACGTTTAAAAATAACATAAAGTCTTCTTTTAGTAAAATACCCTATCTACGATATTTAAGGTACTTTCCCTTCATGTCCCATAACTTTGGGACGCCCTGTATTGGTAGGCGGTGGTATAATCTGCCATTTCACAGACTAGCGGACGATTGAAAGTGTGAGGCATTTATCTTTTATTGAAGATTGTCTAAAGTATTAATAACCTGTGTTATTGCTGTACAGATAAAAGTCACCGGAAAATGACTCTTTTCGGAGGGAAGTAATTTACCCCATACACCTATGTGTTCCTCAAAAAATGTACGGCGTGCTAGAAAATGTTACCTATTTGTACTCTCAAGATCATTTAATTTTATGTTGTTCTATATCATCATCACCTATATGCTAATCAGAGATATGTTGCGACCCTTGGCTTTCGACCGCTCCGCTGGAAATAAGTACGGCGTTTACGGGTAAAGTATCTGTATATGTGTCCAAAAGGAATTACACCAATGCCGTGCACCTAAATGACCTATATTGCTTCTGCAACTATCGTCGAATTGAAATTTGCACCGACTTCCGGCACCATCACTTTAGTACGGCACTAGGTTTTTCGACATTTATGTTTAATCATCTTTACACATATAACAAAGCCGTACATTAATAATTAGTCGAAATTACTCATTTGTACCTGAGAAATTCCATTCACTCACGTACTCACATGTACCGCTCAGAAATGACGGCATAGTGCTCAGAGTTATTTTCAGATATAGTAACAGCCTCCTAAGCGTTATTCACGTTGGGTCATTTCACAGGTATTTTTGATTCATGGGCTTGTGGTCTAGTAGCGGTCAAAGTGGGAAGATTAGAATGATAAATGTCAAAATTCGATTTGTCGAATTGAAAGGTATTTTATTATATAGAAAGCTTCGATTTGTCATCATGCCAAATGACAATCCAAAAATACCGATCAGTCCTCCCATAGATGGTTTTCAAAAACAAATTGACTATCCATCTATCGATCGGTTATTGAAAAGTAGTTTATGAGAAATGGTTTGAAATATCAATATCTAGTAGGCTAGTAAATATAAGATTGGGATTGAGTATAGAAAGCGGCTGTAAGATGTCTGCAATATTAGAGGAAATTTTACTGACTGCGATATTAATGTTTAACACTTTACTATCAAGGCCGGGAAGCTTGTTTTAAATTTAAGTATTGTATTAAATTGACTGGAACTTCTGATAGCTTTACTAAAAAAATGGTTCAGTTTCAGGTTCAGTATTACTGACTGCTACGTTGAAATTAGGAATAATATTCTTTATTGATCTTAAAAATGATGTAAGAACATCGTGCACATAACATAAGTCAGCTGATGTCTGAGAGTAATTATGCGTAAAATAACATTCATTCAGACATACCCTTGTATAGTTTATGGCTCTCAAACAAAATTTATCAATTGATCGCTGTAAACGAAATGCAATGTCACATTTCAAACATTAGGATAACCCGTAGCATAAATAGTAGTAATAATATTGACGCAATGATTTACCTTGTCAAACAAAATGAGTATTAGCCTTGTATTTCGAGGAATTATAGCTATTAGTGATTTGTTTATATTCATAATTTATCTCCTCAGTTGACTCACTGAAGTTATACGATGTTACAAACATCTTATATGGGGTTACAAGCATCTTATATGGGCAACAAAAAAACTTATATGGGGTTCACGTTTTATACTCTTTTTATTTCGGGTAAATCCAACAACCTGTCTTTTTAATGCACGACATCAATATATCTGTATTCCTTAGCTGTTAAAATGTGGTGATAGGTATTCCTATGATTTGTTGGGTATAAAAAGCGCTTTTTATTCTTACTTTTTCAAACTCAAACTCAAAATATCTTTATTCAAGTGGGTAACCAAGTACACTTTTGAATCGTCAAGTTAAATTAATCGTAAATTTACATTTACTACCAGTTCGCAAGTCAAGGGCGTAGAGCGGGTTAGAAGAACTGGCAAGAAACTTTCCGCCACTCTTTTTAATCGCCAAGTATTGTCATACAAATTGTTTGAATTGGAGCAAATCAATCCCAAGGATTAGGATCATTTAAGTATTCCTCAAATTTATAAAACGCTTTATTGATTAATTGCCGTTTAACGAGGGCTTTGAATTTATTTAGTGATAATTCTCTAATTTCGCTTGGGAGTTTGTTGTAAAAACGAATACAATTTCCATATAAGGAGTGGTTTATCTTCTGGAGCCTGGTTGGTCGTACACTCAAATTAGTTCTATTTCGCGTATTATACTGGTGAAAGTCACCATTTGTTTTAAAATCGTTTACATTTTTTTGGACATACAACAAGGCTTCAAAAATATATTGACCAGATAGTGTCATAATATTTAATTCCTTAAACTTATTCCGTACCGACTCCCTCGGAGAAAAACAACAAATACCCCGAACAGCCCGCTTCTGCAGCACAAATATGGATTGAACTTCTGAGTTCGGCAGCAGCACCCCACAGTAAAATACCGTACGACATAACGCTGTGAAAGTAGCTATGATACACAATTTTAGCCGTGTCCTTATCAGTAAACTGTCGGATTTTCTTTACTGCATATGCTGCAGAGCTCAGCCTAGATAGATTATTACCGCAATTGCACGTACCACTCTTGCAGTGCGCCGTTGGGATTTAGTGGTAGAGCTCTGCGACCGAATAGTAACTTCTAGAAACACAACAATAGAAAATGAATCATATACCATTAATGAAAGAAAAATAGAATCAGAAAAAAATTAGAATGCATAAACCAAGTTGTGAAATTTCTATGCAATAAAGTTTTCTGGTTATCGTGGCGTCTGAACATCCCATAGACTTTGTATAAATACCTTATGACGCTATAACAGTAGCTGGAAACGGAATTACAACCGTTAGGTACATTTTCGTGCTTCATGTTTCATATAAACATGTGTGTCACCGGAACGAATATCACCGTGTAAAATAAGATGCAGTAAAACGATATAGAAATTCCAACTTGATTTTCACCTATGAGAACCGCAGAGCGCCGAGTCAAAGAGCGCATGCAGGAACTCGGAAACGAACGCTGGGACCGCTTTACCTGCCAATTGTCACCCTCGCACACAGCCTATTGGTCTCTCGCGCGCTCCCTCAAAACCGACACAGTGGCTTCCATGCCCCCTCTGAAACGTTCAAATCTACCTGATGCATTCGATGACGACGAAAAAGCCGAGTGCTTAGGTGTCAATCTATAGGAGAAGTGCACGCCCAATCTCGACCACAGCGACGTAATTTCCTGGGGCAAGTTCGTTGAACACTCTAATCAAGACTTCACTGCCTCGAAAATTACCAGGTCTCGACGCCATCTCGAAAAAATATCCTCCGACGCGTACTAGTGGCCATGTTCAATTGCCTCCTCGCAAACTGCACGTTCCCGGCGCAGTTGAAAGAGGCCATTATATTTGGTATCCACAAACCAGGCAAGCCCCGTAACAAACCCACTAGTTACCTCAGCCTCCTCAACACGCTCAGCAAGCTGTACGAGAAGGTGGTCAAACCCCGCCTCCAAGACTTTGCTCTAGAAAAGCGGCTCATTCCCGACGAGCAGTTTGGCTTCAGCCCACTCGTGCGTTCATGAAGTCCAGTGCCTGAAGGGCTACACCATAGAACAAATGTAAATTCCTAATAAACGAAAGAGTTAAAAAGAAATACAATTAATACAAAAATAAAACAAAACATTTCAGCAAACAGAGAATTTTTTTTATACCTTATACATAATATTACGTCTATCTTAAATGTATTACGGCGGATCTAGTTATTATAATGATTGCTAATTAATTTCATTCATTTTTAATTAAGGTAAGGAAAAAATATGGCACGGTCAAGACAATTAGTCCGTTAAAAAATACAAACATACACTATCCTTACAGTACTAAACCAATACGATCATGTCAAAGAAATATAATAAAATATGTCTATAAAATACATAGCATAAAATTTCTGTAAATGTATTTATGAATTAATATATATGATAACATTCAACCAGGCGCCAAAAATTCGTTAATTAGGGTAATCCGAGTTGAGACTTCGCGCGAATTACGTCTCCCGTATGCAAAAATGCAATAATTATGTTAACGCAGTTTTAACTAAACTTTATCACGATTTTTTTTATTTTATTAATTAACATTCTCGTGCTTCACATTAACATTATTTGAAGAAATAATAACATAATTAATTCTTCATAATTGTTCTATGTTATCTTCATATTCATATATTATATTAAGACTTAACATAGAACAATTTTGATAAATTTCGAACATTTTTTTCTTCAAGAAGACGTCGATCCAATTACGTGACCAAGGAATACAAATATTTGTTTACTATATTTGCGTAATGTTATTATTTACTTATTAATTTAATAATGTTTGCGATAAAATATTTTATATACGTATATATATATATATATGTTATGAGTATGCAGGTACATTAATAAACATAGAAGTATGTTGTTGTTGTAAATACATAATAACATAAACTCGTTGTTTTCATTGGTTATGCTTAAATGTTTTTATTTTAATAAAAAAAAACAAATTAAGTTTATTTTCTTTACAAACATTATTGTTAGTTAAGAACTTATAACTTGAACTCTGAGGTTTATATCGAGAAAAATCACAGAAAAACCTAAAAAGTTTTCATTCCGGAAAACTGAACAGTCTCTGGGGTAGCTAGCATAGGAAAATGTTCCATGTTCATATGTACTAAAAAGGTAGGCTTTGCATTAAGGAGAAACGAAGTACGCGGGGGCAGCTAGTAATATATATAATATGTATATTTAATATATATAATTATAAATATAATATTTGGACTTATATTTTATTATATAAGTTTGAATTGCTTAATGTTGTGCAATATTACTTACATGATATATACATTTACATGATGATCATCAATTTTTTTCACATAATTTAAATATAAAGTGAGCAATAAAATTTGTTCGTTTATTTTAAGAAGGACGGGAGATCTCATATAATACAGTTCAATGGTTAAGTTTATTTATCTTTGAATTCAAAGCGCATATTCCAAAAAGCGATGCGAACTTAAATCTTTGTTAATATTAATAAATTCATTTATAAAAGAAAAAAGAATCAGAAAAAAATTGAATGCATAAACCAAGTTGTGAAATTTCTACGCAAGAAAGTTTTCTGGTTATAGTGGCGTCTGAACACCCCATAGACTTTGTATACCATAATATACACTATAAATATCCTCATGACGCTATAACAATAACTGGAAGCGGAATTACAACCGTTAGGTACATTTTATAATGCAAACATGTGTGTCACCGGAACGTATATCACCTATAAAATAAGATGCAGCATCCTTCGATGATTAAACCGGGTCAAACGCTTTAGCCTAACATTTTTGGAATTTAACAATGGCTCCGTTAAGAATAATTTTCAGTTTGTTCGTCTTGTTGTTTGCACTTTTTGTTCAATCTCAGCCGATAGATTCCGAGTTAATGGAAACAGCTGAATCGCAAAATCCGTTTCTGCCGCGTTTTGCAATGAAAAAGCTAAAGGAGAGACGGGAGAGAGTTCGGGCTCAAAGAAGAAATTATCAGAATCAAAGGAACTTCCAGCCTTATTACAACCCAAGGTGGTCTCAGGCATACCCATATTATTATGTGAGTTAACTTGTTGTAATTAAGTACACATAAACTCGGCTATTAGGTTGATTTTTTATAAATGTATTAGACATTAAAACTTCAGTCTTATTAAGTTTAAGCAATGTTATAAAACTATTACGTTTATGTAACGTATGAAATTTTAATTATAAAATCGTAATAATTATTACATATACGTTTTATCTCAAGGAAATTGGGTGTACCCACGTGTTTTAATACTAAAACCCTAGTGTTAACGATGAACGTAAATTATTTAACAAATATCAGTATGAAGGGAATATATAAAAATCAACCTAATAGCCGAGTTTATGTGTAAATAGTACATAAAGACATAAAACTGAATTTTGAAAGATTCTGAGTGTTCACGATAGACATCCATAGCAGTTTAGTCCAATAATAATTTGTAAATTAGATTGAATAATAATGTAATATAATTTAAGCCTTTATTCAGATAGAAATTTTACATAATTTTAATCTTAAACTAGTGTCATTAGTGAGACAACCCATCTGTTTGCCCAACTGTGGCAAAGGCGTCCTCCCTTTTAAAATTAGATTGAATATGTTGTCCTAATACTAGTATAATATATAACACTAGACGTAAAAACTTTTATAATTTAAATTACTTACTATCTGAAGAAAATATTTACGAGCAAAATGACATCAAGGGCGACCTACTGCCCTACTCAAATAGCCCCGAAGATGATATGACAAATGAGATCACTCATAAGGTTCTAATTATTTACATAAATAGAACCAACTTACACCTTTCTTCGACCCAGATGATTAAATATAAATATCGTAATGTGCAGCACCTTAGTCAGTCGCTTAAACTCAACCAAGTTCACTTCTTTCCAGTAAAAATGAAGACGCACATATTTATAATCCTAGTTTTTGGACTCTCTGCATACGCGAAAACCATAGCGGAGGTGATCGCAGAAACGGAAAATGGAGCACAGACTACAGACAGTTTTAACGACCCACAGACAACAGAGAATAGTTTTGTGACATCGGAACCAGAAATTGATTTAAATTTAAAAAACGTTGATGCTAGTATGGAAATCGTAATTGAAGAGAACGTAAAAACGCCGTATAATTTACTTAATGAAGCTGTGACCGACTTTGATTTGGGCGAGGTATCACCCAATGATGGTGACTTCTACTACAATGACGTCATCAACAGAGACCCCAATGAAATAATGGATACCGCTGCCGGTTTCGCACCATTACCTTTTCTGAAAAAGAGGAGGAAGGCACAAAGGCCGTATGCAACAAGAAGATTCTTCCAAAAACCTTACGCTTATAGAAGATTTCAGTACTTTTACCCCTATTATTATGGGTTTTACCGCCCCAGCTCTCTAAGATATTATAATTATTATTAGTAAGTTAGTGTATTTTTTTAATATTATTATAATAAAAGAAATTAATATTTCATCACGTTTATTTCAAAACACCTTAAAATAAGACAATAAATGCTACATATACCAATCCCATCCATTTTTATCAACTATAGATTTTTTATCGTCATTTACGTCATGAATTTAGTTTCTAGCACAATTTATAATACATATTTCATTGTTTCTTTTGTATTTTCTCAAATTACATTAACAACTTTTAGTAAAGCCCCAAGTAATAAATTCCTTTTCATTAAAATTTTCGATGGAATTGGCTATTGGTACAATGTTAAACTTAAAGAAAGTATATATAGATATTTGTAATTATAAATAATGTATAATTAGGTGGGTTAACATAATTTAAATAAATAATATATTTTATTACCCACTAAGCATAATTCGGGATATGGAGACAAGAATTCAGTAAATTTTGTTTAATAGTATGAACCTTACCTTAATGTTGAATCGAAACAAAATTTGAATACGGTAGGGATTTCTTAGTGTGTACATAATTTATTACCAATTTGCTCCATTACATTTTAACTTAAATACCTTAAAATAGAATACCCTACTCAGTATACAATAATTACTTTTGTATAATATTGGTGCCCCTTTCAAAAGTAAATTATGAAAAACCAGTTCATATAAACTCATGTAAAAATAAGATATTGAGTAATAATATTTTACATTTGATTTGTAACAATAAACAAATAATATCTTGTTCATTTTAATACAATTTACATATATTTTATTCACAACAAACATTTTCTTGTACATTAGTTGACCCAACTTATTTCCCGGGGCCAACTAGGGCTTCGTCCATCAGGTCATCATCAGATATACAAGGGGAGTTTGAATGAGGGGAAGCAGCAACTAATGGTGACGGAGCTGGACTCTTTGACAGCTGCAAGAGAGCAGGAGATGGGGGATAAACAGGTCTAACCGCAACCATTCCAGAAACCTTACTGGCAGAGGACGATGAGAAGTCCAAGAGCATTTCAGCCGCCTCCTGTGGAGTAGTTGCTCCACTCCGTGGGACAGACCCACTTGTTGGCGGTTTCATGCAAGAATCTGCACCCTTTCTATCTTCAGAACTTCCCTTTGGCGCTGGAAACCCCTTTGCCATATCTGTCTTAAAATCCAATGGCATTAAGGGATACGATCCCGAATACGACTCTTTGCTATCGTCTTTTGATCTTTGTGTGCTATCACCTTTAGCTAAGCTTTCTGACATTTTTGAAAAATCCGTCGGTTCAGCTTTGGTAACCAAAGTTTTTGGACTTACACCACCCATATTTAGCAAAGGTTTTGGAACATTCAATGGATAACCAGATTTCATTTGATCACTACTTCTATTTGGAGTGTCGAAGTGTGGAAATGGATATTTATTTTGATCCATGGATCTAGAAAAATCGTTGACCATAGAACGACTATCGTATTGAGACACTGGATTGTTTTTGTCGGTAGGGTTCTGATTTTTCAATTTTGGTATTTGAAATTTGCTCGTATCTAATGGTTTAATTAAACCTTCAACCAGAAAACTTGCATCTTTGGAACCCTTAAATCTATCACCGTCGACATCATCTCGAGATCCACTCGGACTAGAATGCCGTTCAGATTTGGATGAAAATATAGATTTTTCAGAATTACTCATAAGCTTATTCCTCGACTTTTCGCGTTCCCTGTCACGCATAATTTTGGCAATATCAGAGCTACTGCTTTTTGGGGACCCCGAACTCGATTTAGAACTCGACTTCGATAAATTGATACCGGCATTACTGCTACCGGATGATTTAGAGTAAGGCACTTTTGGTGAAGCACTTGCGCTAATGCTGGAAGACTCAGATGGACTCATATTCGCTTTAGGCGGCGTGGAGCCAGGAGTCAGGTTACCAGATTTAGAAGACTGCATTACTTGAGTCTTCTTGGACGCAGGTCCACTGATAACTCCCGGTTTTAAGCCCGTGTGAGTTTTCGGTGATCCTTGGCTGGGCGGAGTCAACTGTGGAGAAGATTGTTTATTGGAGCCAGAATAACTTAATTTCGAGCTCCCACTTGAAGATTCCTTCGTTCTTGTTTTATTGATAGTAATTTTCATTCCATCTAAACTGGGTTTCACCATATATTCTTGATTTTTGCTTTCACTCATTTTTAAATTACTGCTTCCTGAACTGTTTTTTGAATCATTGAATTTGCTACTACTGCTAGAGGAACTAGATTTGGAGGTTGTTATTTCTGAATCAGTTCCACAATGTTGAGCAGACTTAAGCTTGTCTATGACTGCACTAAGAGAACCTTTTCTGTTGCGGGCTTGACTCGGGGCATTCGACTTGTTAACCTCAACATTGGGTGGTGAAATTAAAGGCTCAGTGACAGGACTATCGCACGTAACCGGAGTAATTTCAAGTTGTTTTAATTTTAGTGGATTTTTTAATTTTGGGCTACTTCTACCCGAACTAGAAAAAGATAATCCAGAGTGTTTCTTTTCTTTGTCTCTCGAAGACATCGATGACGATCCGTACGAGTCTTTAGATATCTTTTTCGTGAGGTCGTATCCTGTGGTGCCAGATTTTCCTGAAGGCGAACCACTAGTCGCAGATTTCAATGTAGACATACTAGGTTTCCCCGAACCGGATGAGCTATGTTTAGGGGAAGAGATTGTGTGGTTTTTTGGACTGGAATATCCGGCCAAATGTTTGGGACTACTTTGTACTGGAGAATGTCTAGGGCTATTATGGTGGCTTGATGTTCCAGAGGGTTTCCCCATTTTGACGGTATTTGGAGTTGGGGACTTTGTTATAGATACGGACCTGCCGTGTGTGGGACTGGGACTAAATTTTCTTAAAATAGAGTTTGGGGATGTCGACTGCAATGGTGAACCATCGGTTGGCTTAATACTGACTGACACAGGCTTTGTAAGTGGGTCTTGTTTCGGAGGGACTTTTTCAGGGGGTCCCATGGAATCATCTCTTCGGCGCTTCTTTTTCTTCTCCTTGCTACGTTCTTCGCCAGATTTGCTGGATTTCTTCTCGGATCGTATGCGGTCATCCATAGACTTCATTTGTGAACTAGTAATAGGAGTTATTGTTATAGAACTGGGCAAAGCCGCGGGTGGAGCGGCAGTTATAGGAATAATCTCTATCCCGTGCCTTCTATCTAGACATAGCATAGAGGACAAAGTAGACGCTGAGCTCGAACCGGATTGGTTTGAGGAATTTGAAGTAATTGGTGTAATACTCACAGAAGACGGCATATATGATTTGCCGTCCGTGAGATCTAGGAGCAACGAAGACGTACTTCTGTTGCGAGATTCTACTTCTTTATTTTTCACTTTTTGCCTTTTGTGCTCGGACTTATGAAAAGAATTCCTGAAACGAAATTAATTAAATTAATTTACTTTACTTAAAACGTCAATTTTATTTGTTTTAAATTACATAACACATTAGACAGTACAGTTACACATCCTTACACTAGTCAGTCACTTTAATAGTCAGATTTTAATTCCAGTTTTCATCGACTATTTTTCCCAACTTCGGACAGATTTCGTTTAATACTTAGACATAGAGGCAGTGCAAGGAAAATGACTACTATTATATATTGGTATTTGATGCACTACGTATGTAAAACTAAAAATGTGTCAAATAAGGATAGGAAGACCAGGTTTTCTGATTTTTCATTATCTATATAATATATAAATCAATTTTGAAATAGATTTAAACCCGTACATTAGTACGTTAATTTTTTTTCTCGACAAAAGTTGCAATATCATTCCAATATACCTGATTATATCTTCAACATCGCCATCGTTCGAGTTGTCAATGTCAGACGAGGTCCGATTATCGGCCCCTCCCAAGGCATCCGCATCCATCCCTGACAGTTCCAGATCTGACGTAAAATCATTCTGCGAAATTGACGACTCCTGCCCCTCAATATCGTCATTGGTCGAATTACTATTCATTGTATTCTCATCTTCGTTAAAACCGTCAGAATTATCACTTTCACTGTCAGAAGCGCCTAAATCTCCCAGACCGGGTTTCCCTTTCTTTGAGGATGGAGGCCACAAGTCAGATTTACGTTTTTTGGACTTTCTGTCATCCATTTGGGATTTTGAGTCATTCGAATCTTGACACATCATTGACATGTGGTGTTGCTGATCAGAGAGGTATGCGCCTAAAACAATATATTTTAGGAATATGTAATAGATTTTTTATTTAAAAGATAAAAGATTCATGAGCACCTCAAAATCAGAACTGTCAAAGCGGAGATCAGGACCTGGAGTATGAAATACAGAAAAAGACTAGAAATTCATCTTAATAAGCTTGCCACGCAACTAACCATACCGGACCTAATAAATAGGCTTAAAAGGCGACAAATCCTAAGTCTTGATAGACACGGTTGAAAGAGAGGAGCAGTCTCGATGGAGATTTCGCTCTGAACGCCTAACAGCTCTCAACACATCTGCTCATAGTCTACCTGACTGATTGCAAGATAAAGACTTATAAAAAAAAGATGAAAGACCTGAGAAAATAAGTCATATATAATATACTCACCTCCCTGATGCGGATGCGAGACCGAAGAGGGGTAAAGGGCTCGATTGTGGGGCGACGGGGAAGGCGAAGGGGAGGGCTTGTGGTCACCCCCGGGGTCGATGCCCCCCAGGCCACAGCTAAAATTCGAATCGAGACCGGAGTAGCCGCCGTTCATTTGTTTCGCTGCCGCTTCCCGCTCCCAGATATTCACCAATGATCTGAATAAAAGTTAATTTATTGTAAAATATCGGTTATAACAACGGTTGGGGTGGTTTATTGAAGTTATACTTCTTTTGATGAAGGAAATTTTTACGATGCGCACGCACACCGTTACAAAAAACCGACAACCTGAAGTTAGCTACAGTGAATATTTCAGTTTTTTTTATACAACTATTGATTCTGGATGTGTATGATAGTTAGAGTATGATTCTACAAGAATATTTGTATCATACTCTAGCT